GAGCCTTTTAGTCGCAAGAACAGAAACCTGGCACCTTAGGATAAAATAAAATAAAAATCCATATGTTGTAAAAGAGAGTTCTGTTAAGACATCATCCTCCATCTCCTCACTCCTTTCTCCAGCACCCAAAAGCCTCTTTAAAACTGTTCCTCCTTTACTAGCCCGCATGTTTGGACAAAGCACACATTCACCCAATTGAGCCAGTCCTTCAGATAATCTGTTTTATTTCCCATTACATGTTCCAGTAGCCATTGGACAAGTACCTCAAAGGTAGAATATGATACACCTGTATCATGTTAGGGTTCTTTTTCAGGAGGTAGATAATTTTGTGCACATATTATTCTTTGATCCAGTGAGATATATGATTAGAAAAACAAATAATGCTACATTCTAAGCTCTTGATAATGTTTGCTGCTTTGGCTTGGCCCATGACATAAGTGTCAAACTTATTTGAATCCTTTGCGGCTCCAAATAGTAATTCTATATGTTCACTGGCCATTATGCTTACTCCTCCAAGCCAAGGAGATTTTCCCCAAAGCTATCTTTAAATGGTTAACATTCAACAGTTTCTTACCACATTAGTGGTTTAGGTAAGGAACAAGTAGTACACATAATTATTCCACACATTATTTCATGACTTTGGCACCACCATGTCAATTCAAAGTAGCTATCCAGTGGCTGCTTCCCGGGGATGGCAGGCCATCAGTTTGGCATCTTATTCACCTAACATCATCCCATAGAAATCCTATAGGGTCTTCCATAATTGAATCTCTAGTACTAGAGAATTCCTATTGTTAACTCATCAAGATTCTTACATTCTTGACCTCACAGTTAAGCCATCGGTTACTGTCCATGACTCGGCAAATATCCAAACATCACCCAAAGTAAAGAACTAAGCTCTCCCTCCTCTGTCCTGCACACTGCTCTCAACTTTGCCCAGGGCATGAACTTGCCTTCGCATCATTTGGGTCTTTTCTCTCCATACGGCAAAGAGTAGAAGGTTGTACAGGCATTCCTACTATACAGGCATTCTTCTGGATAAATGAATACATTTCTCCAATTTTGGTGGAAAGAGAGTAGTGATGTCTAGACCATTCAGCAACAGAAGTGGGCTGCTTGTCAGTTCTAAGACAGCAATGCTATTTGCTCAGGTATGTCTCATAACTCCCCAGAGACACTTCTCATGACAAATTCTTTTGAGAATTTTATTGTTCTGCTTTTATTCTACTTCTTTGTGATATCTCCAACTTACAATAGGTAGTTTGGATTTTAAAATAATGTGGTGCTCTTAAGTTGTGGAGATTGTTTTCACAAGAGCTCAATAGCATACTGGCAAAAGTTCCCTAGTCCCATCACCAGGAAACTTTCAAGGTCAAAATCCTGGTGGTTGCCACAAGATGGCAGTATTATCTTTCAGTCAAAGCCTTTGATTCCCATGTATCTTGGAGTTAGAAACTTACAAAATCATGTGAATGTGCTGGAATGGAATTGGAGGGTCCCAGTGATGTACTCAGGTCATCAGTGATGTACTCAGGTCACCGACCATTACATATTGGCCACAGCTTGTCAAGTAGCCCCTCAGGTTTTATGCCTCCTTTTTACTGTCAGGATCCTGGAGGGAGAGGAATTTATTATTTACCTTTTGTGGAATACCTCTGATGGTCCAAAGTTATCTTTTGATATTTTGCTGATTAAGGTAGGCTCTGAATCTTAGCAGGATGCATTAACCAGTCATAGGCTCACTACAACTCTCAAATCTTTCTGAGTTTCTTCTTCCAAGGAGAAATCTTCCTAATGTCATCATCAAATGAATTAACTTGATTTTCATTAGTGATTACATCTAAATCCAATCTTACCAAAGTGTGACAGCAAGTTGAGGAGGTCAGATATCATTAGAGAACGGCCATAAACATGCACAAGCAAACTAAGCTGACTCTTGAGTTCAAGGAGACAGCGTTGGCCTAATCTATCACCTAAAGGTTCACATTCAGCATGTTAGACCTCTTGTGCAGCTTGTGCGATGCCTGGAAGAGCAGACACTTGTTTAAATCCTGGAAACTAAATTGCTTAAATTCAACAAGAGTAACCTCCAAGAGCTGTCTTGTGCTCTCCCTGGCCATGCAAGATTAATAGAGAGCCATGCAAGATAAACAGAAAGTGTCGGTGGAGATTAGCATCTCTTTCTCCACTGCTTCTTAATGAAAGACAAGATGCCTGTCCTTCCAGCATTTGATACTTCCTAATACTTACTATAGGGCTTTCTTTATGCATGACTAATTAAAACTACGTGAAGGGCATATTTATCTCTCTTAAAGACAAGTAACTTAAGCTGGTAAGGACAAAGGCCTTTAACATATCTATTCTAATTATGTATTTAGATAAAAGCAAGAGCTCATTATGTTTTCTTTTTTTATGTCTCCAAATACATTTTTATAGTTATTCTGGTGCCATCCATTGGTAACATGGTAATATTTCCATATGTTCCAAACTTCAGTTTCCATACCATTATATTGCCTTTTCATTCTGCTGCTTGTATTTAGTATATTTAGCACTGTCATGAAGGTACATTCAATAATTTTAAATAATTTTAAAAAGCTTTCTACTATCCTCTGCCATTCAGCATTAGCCATATCATATTTTGGGCCATTCACCAGGAGTCAAGTGAAGATTTCTTCCCCCCAACCTTAATAGGTGAATTATAATCTCTACTTTGTGCTGAATATACAATCGGCCCTCTCTACCCATGAGTTCTGCATCTGTGAATTTAACCAATTGTGGATGAAAAATATTTAGGAAGACATTGTGTCTTTACTGAGCATGAACAGATTGTTTTATTGTCATTATTGCCTGAATAAAAGAGTATAACCCCTTACATTATATTTACATTGTATAAGGTGTTATAAGACATCTAGAAATGATTTAAAATGCAATACCTATCTAGGAGGATGTTGTAAGTTATATGCAAACACCAACTGATTTTATTTAATGGATTTAAGCATCTGTGGATTTTGCATCAGAGTGGATCCTGGAACCAATCCCTCATGGATAGCAAGGGACAACTGTCCAGCATTTTTCTTCTCAGGATAAATTTGCTATGTTCCAGACTTTACACATTCCAAAAGGAATGTTGACTTGGGCATTCTGTGGATTAAATGCTGGATACGCTATAACAAGTTGTTCATTAGTAGTTATGATAGACAACATTTTCCATTAAGCAGTTCCTAAAATCAACAGTTCCATAGTTGTTTAGTCTGAGAATTAAAAAAAAAAAAAAGCAGGGATTCTTCAGTATAACTAAAAAATATAAGCAAACTCCACTATGATGTAGCCTTTGATTTCCATGTAGGTATTTGATAAGGTAAGGCAGAAGCACACAGGTTAGTTGAGAGACCCAGAGACCTAGATGAAGAAGGTCCCACCTTCTCCATGAAGCCAAAATCTAAACTGTAGGACATAACCACCCCTTAGCCAGCTGCATGGAAGAAGAACAGATATGGGAGAAAGAGAGATGGCCAATCTTCCCTAAGGAAAAGGATTGGTTTAATACTTGCATCAGATACACACAAGAGAATTCACGGAAAAGAGAAGAGCCACGAGTACACACGATAAATTTAAATGTACGGTGACTCTGCTTCTCATAAATGCAGTTTAACCAATTTCTCAGACTGTGACTAAACAGATCAGCATTCAGTTATGATAATTTCTAAGTTCTCCTCAGGGCCTAGGATCCTATGATTTTATTTTCATAGTGTACATCCAGACTTCATTACCAAGTTCATTGTAATAAATGAACTTCTGTGGGACAAAAGTTGGTGGTGCACATGTCCTTCACATGTCTAGTGTTCCACAGTGAGTATCTAACATTAAAATACTAACAGGGATGTGGGGAAGTGTGTATTGCTTACTTCAATTTTTGTTAACAAGGAGATGGAGGAAATATATAGATAGATATTTGCAGATACTATTTTTAAAATATAAAATAGAAATTAATACTAGTTGCTTCTGTGCAAGGGACTGAGGTCTAGGGATCTTGGATGGGAGGGTAAAGTTATTGTTTAATGTAAGCTATCATTTGTACTTAGAGCCTTCTCTCCGCCTTGCTCTTTCTCCTCCAGCCACGCTAGCCTTCTTGCTATTCCTCCAACATTTCAGGTCTTGGTACTGGCCATTCTAGTACCTGCAGTACTCGCTAGCCCCATCCCCCACTCTCATGGGACACTCTCTCCCTTCATTCTGTGAGGTGCAAAGGTCACATTATTCCTGAGACTGCTGCAGAGTCTTCCCACACACTCCCTAATGTCCCTTCCAATACCCCCCTAAAACCCTTAATACTTTGCACCATCTGACATACTAAATATTTGTCTGTTGGTTTAGGGTATGACTCCCTTTTGGAACATGGTATGGTGCATAATAGGTAATCAACAAACATTTATTGAATTAATGAATGTAACTATACCATTTGATGTTTTTCAAAGAAAATCATGTGCATTAATTACTTTTCCAGTGAAAACAACAGTTAAGGAGTGAATGATGCATTAACTGTTAAAATGTTTACTATTATAGAGGGAAAATGTCTAAACTTCTCAACATGTAGAGCGTTACTTATTAGCTATGGGCAACTAAATTGACCTATTTATCAACTGGAGCAATTAATTACTTGGCAGAACTAAGATTAAATGTGGGTGAAAGTGCTATAAAAGTTACCAAAAGCACACAGTCACTTCTGTGCGAGGGGCCTAGGAACAGTACATGGCTTTAACTCGCTCTGCGGTTTAAGGAGAGAAAAGTACCGAGAGCAACTAGGAAAACCCACGCTGGCGCAGGGAGTGTCTGCCAGCCGCGGTTGCCACGGTAACCAGGAGAGCGTCCCGAGAGCCCGGGCACGCACGCCCAGGCCTCCCCTCTCGACCCGCCCTCAGCGATAGCAATAGGTGGAGCGCGGGCCAATCGGAAGAGGCCGAAGGGGCGGGGCCGCAGAGTCCGGGGAGGGCGGTCCCGAGGCCTCCCTCCCCGACTTCCGGGTCGCGGTGTTTGCAGGGAGCGTTTGACTAACAGCGTCGTTTCCGTTGCCGGCTGTTTGCAGTTGGGGAAACCGAGGCAGCTCCAGCTTCCCCTAGTTCTTCCGCTGCTGTGAGGTGGCTGCTGTTTCTTTTCTCTCACCCCGCGCCGCTCCCGTGCGGCTGCGCCGAGGGCAGCGCGAGCCCTGCGCCTTCCTGCGGGAGTTGCGCGGGCGCCTGGGCCGCGCGGCTTTGTGCGCGCCGTCCCCTCCCACTCGCAGCAGCGCGCGAGCCGGACTCTGCGGTGCTGCGCTGGGGGCTCGGCGCAGCGACGCCCCGAGGTCTGGGAGCTGTGGCGCCGCGAGTCCAGCGCTGCCTCGGCTTCTTTTGTCCTGAGGAGCGCGGACCGGATGAATTCAATTTAAAGATACAGATCATCCCGTCTGTGCTGTGCACTGTCTCCGCACTGCTCTGCGAGGATTTCGAATCTGACAAACCCTCGGGCCCTGTTTCAGAGAGGCAGGGTCTGTGGGAATGTTTAGGGCGGGAAGGAGATGAGCATCTTCTTTTTTAAGTATCTGCCCCTCACTTACATCTCCTCTTCATTGAGGAGCTGAAGAGTTTCCTTTGAACATCCAGTTTTATCGAGTGTGTAGTGTCTTTGTTTTCAGGGTATGTGGGGGGGTTAACCTCTTATTGGTATTTCTGCACTTCATCTATTGAACGGAAAATGATGAATTAGCTGGAGGGTGATCTACTCTGCTTTCAACTTTTGTACTTGAGTTTCTAAGCCATTTGTAGTGTCTTTATTTGCTGACATCAACGACTGTGCGACAGTTGTAACAAATTATCCACAAGGGTTTAGAAGAGCTTATTCCTTATAGAAACAATTCTGATGTTAGATATATTATACTGATTGTTTAGTTGGGGTCCTCTTGTTCTTAAACTGCTTAGTTCCAGTTCTCAGAGAGGGACAAAGTAGGAAACTGAAATATTTGGGGGGAAAAAAAAATGGAGACCATCTATTAGTTTCTTTTAAGCCATTAAGTGACTGATTTGTGTTCTGATTTTTACGATTTTTAAAGTGATAAATTGACCTTCTGGCTAGCCATCATTTAATGAATCTGGGCTGTACGGATTATACCTGTTGTGGTTTTCATATTAAACACCATCACCAAATGGACACAATGAGTTAATAGATTTTAATATAATCTCAGATTTGGCGAGTTGGGTAAACAATTTTTTTTTGTAGTTTTAAAATTCAATTTTAAGGTCATTAAGTTTGTCTTATGTATTTTCTTCTCCAGGAAAAAATGTTTGTTACTTTGTGGGAGTTCTTCTATGGGCACTTTTTTCGGTTTTGGATGAAATGGCTCTTACGACAGATGACTGGAAAGTGTGAATTGCAGCGAATTTTTGATACCTACGTGGGTGCCCAAAGGACACACAGGATAGGTAATGTTATTATTAAAAAAGATAAAAAATAACAAAACTGACTCAATATATTTTAGTTCACATGGTAATGATGTACTTCTTGTTTGTTCTGATCAAGTTAATTAAACTAAGTTTCATAAACTTTGTAATTTCTGAATAGTTTCAGCTTTCAATTTTCTTACTTTATGGAAAAATGTTTATATGTATATTTACATTTATGTATTCCATATCAATGAAAAGAATGATCCTCTCTGGCTTCATAAATTTACCAGTTGTTCCTTAGATACTAGTTACAACCTATTTCCTGAGAATGTTTTTTTATATTCTATTTGAAACAGTACACAAATAATGTGAAGAGTGCTTCAGTCTACATCCACTTTTATACCTTGCCTCAGTCACCAATCTTAATTTCTTACTGTTACTTATGAAAGGACAGTAATTAGTCATTTAGTAGTCCCTAGAAAAGGTTGTTAGACTCAAAATCTACACTGTCCAGTAGCATAGCCAGTAGCCACTTTTGGTAATGGAACACCTGAGTTGTGGCTAGAGTGAATTAAAATGCGCTATAACTGTAAAATACACACTCGATTTCAAAGACTTTATATGAAAAAGATTTCAAAGGCTTTATATTAAAAAAAGAATGGAAAATGTCTCATTAATAATTGCTTATGTTGATTATTGAAGTGATATAATATTTTGGACCTATTAAATTGAAATGTATCAAGGTTTTGTTTCTTTTACAGTAATGTGGCTATGGAAATTTTAAAATACATATTGGCTTGCATTCTATTCCTGTTGAACAGTGCTACTCTCTTTGTAAAATATCTTAGTTTTTCAATAGCTAATTAAAAATATTGCTGTAAAGTAGAACAGAGGAGTGAAAAATGTGGTTAGAAGTTACTTTTTTAGCCAGGGTAAGAAAGATCTGGGAACTGCTGCAGATCATGAGCTCTGTATTAAATGGAAAGTCGTAAACTAACCAGGTCCCCTTTTGTGTTGATCAAGTGTGCTTCAGATGTGAAATCAGCCCTGTAAAGTGGGGAGAGTGGGGTGTTGGCAGTCTGAATGGGCATCCAAGACAGCATTGGAAGAATTACAGAAGCCGCCTCAGGGCAGTTAGATGATTGAAGTTTTAATTACTTTCCTAGTTGTCTTACAACTTACTGGTTGACTTAAATTATTGTCTGCTCTTTTGACTTGCCCTTTTGACTTCTCAGAAGAACAAAGTACCTTTTGATAAGAAGTCTCTACAGGAAGCATTTGTTGGTGTTTTCTAGTGTGAGAGAATAATATATGTTAAAAAGCTTTACTTTGTGGTAAAAGCATTTTTCTTGAATTTTTCAAATTGCTGAGAAGACTGTTAGTAACTGTGCCACACAAATGTTTTAATAGATCAGTAAAAATGTTCTTGTCATTCTTGATACAGAAGCTAGGAATGAAGAAGCTATTTTGCTCTTGGGTGAGTACATAGTTAGCCAGATAACCTAAAGTCTTGGTCCCTTTGTTCAGGTACAGTTCATTTGCTAGCACCTCAGGTCTTAATGCTTAATTCTTCAAGGCTGACAAAAGAGGAACATGTAGTAGAGAGCACACTGTGGTCTTCACATGAGTTTCTGGAACCTGAGCTATTTGTGGTCACTTTGGGGTCTAAACATGAACCAAGACCCTGGAAAAATTAGGTCAGCATTGCCTATTTGGCTTGGTATGTTGTATTTGGTTGAGGTTTTTTTGAATGAAAACTGCTTTAACTGTAAGAATAAATTTTAAAATGTTTGCTGTGTTATATTCGTGTATAAATTATATCTTCTCAAACTGAAAGTAATTCGTGTTTTGCTATTTTTACTGTTTATGGAGCTATTTATAGAAAGCATTGAAGTGATAAATTCCTTTTTTTTTTAATTTCAGAAAATTCCTTGACATACTCCAAGAATAAGGTAAGATCATTTTAAGACAATGATTCTAAAAAACAAGAAAATGCCATTTATTTAAAAGAATGCCTCAATTTAAGAATTCATTATTTTTAGTGTCCATGTCTTTGCTATAAAGAACATTGAGAAATTTTTTCCAGAATATAAAATAAGTCTATTTTCAAAACATTTTCTTTATGTGTGTGTGTGTATGTGTGTGTTTGTGTGTGTGTGTGTTATGAACAAAGATGATATTTGAATAGTTCTGAGTCGTTTCCCCCTTCTACCCCCATTTAGTTTGCCTTAAGAGTTGATAATGTTCGGGAAAACAGGGTCTTAGGGTAGAACCTTCTTTGAGACTGTATCTTCAAAAGAAGGACATGTGAGAAAAGGGCGAGCAACTTTGCATCAAGAAATCTTGTGTCATGCACCTGTGTACCTGTGTACCTTTTGATCCATAATAAGCCCTGACATATAGCAGCTTATGCTACATATTAGTCAGCATTTGCTGAACAAGAAACTTATAAAATCTCAGGAGCATAAAGCAGTATGTCATCTCTTATGTCTGGGTTAGCTGGAACAGCTCTTCTTTGAGTTCTTCAAGTTCAGCTCTATTTCATGTGTTTTACTCTGGGACCAGGTAGGAGATGCAGTTGGGTATCAACAGAATGCTCTTACAGTAGATCACTGGTGGTCAGCCACACAGATGTATGTTAAACCTCATGTGTCATTTCCATTAGCATCCATTGTTTAAAATAAGTGGCCAAGCCCAAATGAAGGAGAGGAGAATTACACTATGCCCACCATAAGGTTGTGGTAGGCAGGTGGGTGTATAATTGATTTTCAGGGTGACCAATATTTCAGTCTATCACATGCTGCTACTTCCCTTAAATAGTTAAATTTTGTTATGGCCAAAGATAGAGTTTGAGTCATGTAGACTCTCTGCTCAAAATTATGCTCCCTCAACTCTCCCTGGAGTCTTTCTTTAGTTGTTTCACCTTTTTATTTTTACCTTTTTCCATTCTCTCCTACACAAAAGAACAAAACAGTGTTGCTTTTTTGGGTTGTTGAAAGCCCATTAATAGATCACAATCAACACTAAACAACAATGAAAGGAATAGAGTAGAAAATATATGAGATAGATTTGTGCTAGAAACAAAATGGATGTTGTTGAGTGTGAAAGCGATCTGTTATGTTCTGCAGAGCGACCTATAAAGTAGGTGCTTTACTAGTTCAGTTGTAGTCTGTTAGTTTTGATTTGTCAGTGTAAGGGGAGGGGAGACCAGAGTCCTCTTTTGTCAGAATCATAAATTGTGATTAGTTTTTTTTCTTTCTAATGAGACTCTGGAATCCAGAAAGCTAGCAAGTTACTGGTTCAAAAGATCTTTTTATACCTTACCCACCATGTAGTTCCTTTAATTGAAACTTATGACGTAGCTACCTAAAGGAACAATATTTTAAATTGTAATAGATGCACTTGACAAGTGGTTTATGTCAAATCTATTAAAAGAGTAGCTCTCAAACTTGAGAATGTGTCAGAATCTTCTGGAGACTTGTTAAAGTACAGATGGTTACGCTTCACCTCCAGAATTTCTTATTCACTTCTGATTCCAGTCACCATGTTTCCAGGTGCTGCTGCTGCTGCTGGTCAGGGCCCTGCTTTGAGGGTCTTCATATTTATGCTCTGGGAGGGATCATTTTGCCTCATAACTGCTCTTTGTTTCTCTAGGAAACAGTATGTGCATTTTTCAAATGACCTTAAGCAAGTTGTGTTTCAAAATGTCAAAAATTTGGAACTATTTGGAATCTAAACCCTCTAGAATAAATTGTCCTGTGAAATGTGCTTTCTTTCAGTTTTGAAATTGCAGAATATAAAACTGTAACTAAGCTCTTTATGCTGCACCCACAGTCCTCAGCCATCACTCCCAGTTCTGCAGGAGTGTGTGCCTTCAAATACCTTGATACCCTCTGCCCCAGAATGTCCCTCAGAACTCCACCTTGCCCCTCAGAATCAAAATTACCCTGCCGCAGGATCTTTATGGTCTCATCTTTCTTCCTGCAGTTAAAAGCTTAACTTAATTCCTCATCCTCGGGTGTTTGCTCAATTTTGACCCTCTTCATGAGCCCTCTGACCACTCTCTGCTCAAAATTATGCCCCCTCACCTCTCCCTGGAGTCTTTCTTTAGTTGTTTCACCTTTTTTATTTTTGCCTTTTTCCATTCTGTCCTGCACAAAAGAACAAAACAAAACAGTGTTGCTTTTTTGTTTACTGATATATCAGTAGTTCTGAAACAGAGTCTAGAATGTAATAAAGGCTTGGAAATAAAAGGGCAAAGAGTAGAAGGTAAATGAAAGTTTCCTTTTTCTACAAATAGAGTCTATAGCATTTCTTTCATTGCTCCTTCACTAGCCAGTCCTGGAATTGGGATGGCATTGTATCTGACAGTGTAACTGTTATCACTATAATAGATTTTAATAATTTGTCTCAGAATTTATTAATGGGATTGATGCATGGTAAAATCATGAAAGCTTAAAGGGAATAGTACATAGGGTATTACTTTAAGAACTCTGCTACACTGGTCAAATCTTAAATTCAGAATGAGTGACTACCATATGTTCAGTATTCCACTGGGGGGCTTTGATGTATACAAAAGAAGTAAAGTTTAGTGTGAATTTCATTATACGTAGGAGAGAAATAGAGACTGATATCAAATGTTATTATATACAGGAGTTCAGATAAGGAAGAGGTAAATTGAGGCTAGAGCATTTGGGGACTCTTAAGGTACTGGTGGTATTTACTAGCTTTAAAAACTCATTTGGAAAGTAAAAATTAAATTTGTATTCTTACGACTTCATCATTAAAAAGTATAAATTGATAATAGTGCACAGGCATACTATTAAAAGATTGATCAACAAATGAGTACTTCAAAACTGAACAAAATCACAGGTGCTTTATTCTTTTGTAGTTTTAAATCTAAGGCAAACTTGTTAATATTAATACGTAGAGAAAGCCTATCAATTTACACATGTAGTGTGTGTCTCCTTTATTTGTATATGTCATTTACTTTAAAGAGAAAGTCTAATTCTGATTATATAAGATATTTATGTTGACCAGATCTACTTATTTATTATGTAAAAAAAAAAAAAAAAGGCTGGGTTTAAATTCTGGTTTTAACTGCTTACCAGTTGTCCTACCTTATATAGGTTACTTATTTTTGTGTTGTAAAAGTATTAACATCCATATGGTTTTTTTAGGATTAGAGATTTTAACATGAAAGCAATCTTAGGGAATGCCTAATATTGACAATACTAATGATAATGGAATTAAACCAATATATATTACAAGAATTTCAGTAGTTTGATGCATTCATGAAAATCTTGTAGGTCCTTAAATGTTTGTCATTACCATAATGTCTGAGAATAAAAGTGATTTTATCTATTAAGGCTGGTTCTTGAAGTGGTGATCTCAAAGTATGTTTTTGTTGGGTTGTGAACTGTCCCTCATTGGATATTCTTTGATTGTTAAAAATTGAGACTCATCATCTTGTTTTTAGACTAGGGCCTCCTTATCAATGACATATTAAGGACTACTAAAAAAGTGAAATCCCTAAGTATATGGAAGATAAACTTTTAAGTAATCTATAGGTCAAAGAAGAATTCATAGGAAAATATAAAAAGAAAATTGAACTAAATAATAAACTCCCATCAAAATTCCAATGATATTCTTCATAGAAATAGAAAAAGCTGTCATGAAATTCATTTGGAAAAATAAGAAGCCCAAAATAGCTAAAGCAATCCTTAGTGAAAAAAACAAAGCAGGAGGCATCACAATATCAGACCTTAAGCTATACTACAGAGCTACAGTAACAAAAACAGCATGGTGTTGGCACCAAAATAGACAAGACCACGAATGGAACAGAATAAAAAAACACAGACAAACCAACTTAAATGTTACTTCATACTAAAGCGCCGAAAATACACATTGGAGAAAAGGTAGCCTCTTCAACAACTGGTGCTGTGAAAACTGGAAATCCACATGTAACAGAATGAAAGTTAGCCCCTATCTCTCACCTGTACAAAAGTCAGCTCTAAGTGGATCACAGACCTAGAAATTAGACCAGAAACCCTGCGCGTACTAGAAAAAAAATGTAGGCCCAACTTGACTTTAGTATGTTGGCTCAGGAACTGAATTCCTTGACAAGACTCCAAGAAATAAAATAAAAAATCAAGAAGTAGGATGGCATCAAACTAAAAAGCTTCTTCATAGCAAAGGAAATAAGAGCATGAAGAGAGAACCTGTAGAATGGGAGAAAATCAGCTTCCTGTACCTCAGACCATTAATTTCCAGGATATACAAAGAACTCAAAAAAACTTAACACAAAACAGATAATCCAATTAATAAATGGGCAGAGGAACTGATCAGACCCTTCTCAAAAGAAATAAGAATGATGAACAAATATATGAAAAAATGTTCAACATATTTAGCAGTTAGAGAAATGCAAATTAAAACTACACTGAGATTTTATTTTACTCCAGTCAAAATGGCAACTATCAAGACTACAAGTAACAATGAATATTTGCAAGGACATGAGGAAAAGGGAACACTCATACATTGTTGGTTGGACTAAAAATTGGTGCAACCCCTCTGGAAAGCAATATGGAGATTCCTCGAAAACTAGGCATGGAACCACCATTTAACTCAGTTATCCCACTCCTTAGCATATATCCACAGGATTTAAAATCAGCATACTACAGTGATGCAGTCACATTGATGTTTATAACAGCGCAATTCACAATAGCTAAACTATGAAGCCAACTTGGATGCCCATCAACAGATGAATGGATAAAGAAATTATGGTATGTATACACAATGGAATATTACTAAGCCATAAAGAAGAATGACTTTAGGTCATTTGCCAGTATATGGATGGATCTGGAGACTATCATGCTAAGTGAAATAAGCCAATCCCAGAAATTCAGTCATATGTATTATTCTTTTTATGCATTATGTGGGAGAGAGGAAGAAGAGAAGCTCAGTAGATTAGACAAAGGGGAACAAAAGAAAGGGAGAGTGGATAGGAGTAGGAAAGACAGAATAAATCTAACAGTTCTCCTATGTACATATATGAATTAGACCTAAGTGAATCCCACTATTGTGCCTACCCACAAGAATGGGGTTGTAACTAGTATAAGATCTATTCCATGCTTATATAATTTTATCAAAATAGATTCTACTGTCATGTATAACTAAGAAAAAACAATAAAAAATTTAAAATACTACAATGATATATCATCTCATACTTCATAGAATGACTGTTAAAAAAAAAAAAAGAAAGAAAGAAAGCCAAAGGATAAGAAATGTTGGCAAGGACGTGTGGGGTGGGGGGGAATCAAAATTTGTGTAGTTCATCAAATCAGATTTTAAAGGCATATCTGTATTTATACTTTGAGAAACTGTTAAAAAATAAAATGAAGCCCAAAGTAAATGCAAGAAGAGATATTATTAAAATAAGATTTTAAAAAATCAGTGAAACTAGCAAACAAAAGGTTTATCAACAGCTCACAAGTTGGTTCTTTAAGAAGGTTACTAATATTAATAACCTCTAGTAACACTGACCAGATAAGAGAAAACGCAGATTACCAATGTTAAGATTAAGAAGGGGCATCGCTCCCACCTTTAGTTATTAAAAGTCAAGAGGTACCATGAATTGCTTTATGCCAGTGAATGCCATAGCTTGGAAGAAATGACCAAAGTCCTTGAAAACAAGTTTGTCAAACCAATACAAAAAGAAGTGAAAACCAAAGTAACCATATACGCAGGAATGAGATGAAATATATGCGTTAGAATTTTTGCACAAATTTCCAATCTTGGCTTCACTAGTGAATTCTTATCAGCATTTAAGGAAGAAGAACCAATGCCACTATTATATGAAATCCAAGGATACAGAGTAGAAACTTTATGAGACTCGAATAACCCAGACACTGATAGATAAATGAAGATAAATGAAATTCCAGGGCAGTATCCTTCATACATATATAGCAAAACATGAGTAATTTGATTCCAGTAATGTGTAAAAAGAATAATACATTATGACTGAATTTTCAAAAATCAATGAATATAATTTACCATAGCAACAAAGTAAATCAAAAAAATATAATTTCAGCAAATACTAGAAATACTAGAAAAACTGTTTTAATACCCATTCATTATTGTAAACTCTCACTTAACTAGGAAAAGAAAGATTTCCTCAACCTGTTAAAGGTGACCTATGAAAAACCTGCAGCTAACATGATGGAAAAACCTGTGCTCTGCACATTTAATTGAAAAGAAGGACAAGCATGTACACTATCTTTATTTTTGTTCAGCGTTGTGCTGAAGATTCTGGGTAGTGCAATAAGCAAGAAAAAGAAATGTAAGACATAATAATCAGAAAGAAGTAAAATGTTATTAACAGAAGACAGAGTTTGTAATTAGAAAATCCTAAGGAATCTGCAGAAACTACAAGCATATTAATAAATAAATTCAACTGTCTCACAGAACACAGTGTACTTCTATATATTAGTAACAAACTTGGACAATAAATTTAAAAAAAAATACATGCATTAGCATCCAGAAACAAAATACTTTGGGATCAATTTAAGCCTTCTACACTCAAACTCTTGGAGAATAGGGTTTTTTTGTTTGTTTGTTTGTTTTTGTTTTTTGTAATTGTAGGTGGACAGAATGTCTTTATTTATTTTTATGTGATGGTAAGGATCGAACCCAGTGCACACATGCTAGGCAAACACTCTGCCACTGAACTACAGCCCCAGCCCAGAGAACAGTTTTGAAAAAAAGTAAAAATGGAAAGATAAGCTATGTTTATCAATTGGAAGACAGTACCATTAAGATGTAAATTCCCAAATTGACCTATGGATTCAACTCAGTTCCAATCAAAATCCTAGCAAGTTTGCAGAAATGGTAGGAACCTGCAGTAGACCAGATCATCTTCTGATAGAAGTTAGAGTACTCACACGACCTGACTTCAGGACTTTTCTGGGCAAACAGATGAATATAGCAAATGAAAGACCAAGACAGTCCCCACAAAGAGGTCATAGAACTTTTAATAAGGATGTCAAAGAAGTTTAATAAGGAAAAAAAAGTCTTTTCAATAAATGGTGCCAGAATAACTGGATGGCCATGTAGTGGGAAGAAAACTCTCAATTCCTGTTGCTGGTTTTCTTTGATTAAAAACCCAGACAAAATATGCATATGATAATCCTTGGGGAAAATTTGAAACAAATTGGTTTGCTTCTGCATTTTCATATCTGTTTCATAAAGTCAGTAAAATGCCTTAAAATATACTTCTTTTTTGGCTTTCAGGAACTTTTCTCATTCACCTTTCTTTCATATAAATAGATTTTACAGAAAGCAACACAAGTTATTCAGAGTGAAGTGGACAGATGTGTAGAAGATATAATGAAGGAAAAGAACATTAACCCTGAGAAGGATACCAGGTGTGCTGTGTCCACATTATTCTCTTTTGTTACCCATTTACCTTCTGTGAGGTGTTGAGATCACACACATTGCAAACCTTAGAGCTGAAGGTTTTGTGGAGATAATCGGATTTGACACTGGCTTCACTAGATGAACAGTGAAGGTCCAGAGAGGTAAGAGATAGACACAGGACTAAGACCTGTACCTCTTGGTTCCCAGTCTGTCTGCCTCTTAAGGTAGCTTAGCATTACTTTCCTAAGGTTGAATAACTTACTGTCCTTCAAAATTCAGTTCTGTGCCCTCCTCCAGCAACTTCCTCTGGTGGCTCCTCCTCCAGTGTTGGGGGCGTTGCTGTGTCCTACTTGAACCATCTGCACTGCAATTCCTGCTGTGTTCTTCCATCAGAGGTGACTGAGTGCTGGCTTGACACATTGCAGAGTTTTGCTTACTCAGAGATTTAGATGTTATCCTCTGGTTTTGAAGCAAACAAGCTGCATATTACATATGTATTTAAGGAAAGAAGAGGGTAGATTAGGGTGTGTGAGAGAATGATAGGGAATAAAGGCAAAACAGGAAAGCAAATCATTAGGCAAAAAAAAAAGAAGATCAAGGATCAAGTCATAAATAAAGCAGGGGAATTAGTGACATGAGGGTTGCTTTGAGGGACAGAAGGGCTTGAGACCTTTTTTTATTATTATGTGTTTTAATTTCTTTCTCCCTCCCCACCTTTTTTTTAAAAAAAATACCTTTATTTTATTCATTTGTTTTTGTGTGGTGCTGAGGATTGAAGCCAGTGCCTTGCATGTGCTAGGCAAGCACTTTACCGTTGCACCATAGCCCCAGCCCCTCTCCACCTTTTTATTATTGGCGCATTATAGTTGTGCATACTAATGGGATTTGTTCTTACATTTTTGTACATGCACACAATATAATTTGGCCAGTATCATTTGGGGACCTTTTGATGTATGAATTGTTGATGGAGAAAAGTGGATCAGAAGTGTTCTAACTTGGGGAACTAATGTTTAGTTATGCCATTATAGATTAGAGACTTAGCATGTTTCAGGGAAGATAAGCTGTTATTTTTTGGACTGAGATAACCTGTTATGGAACTCTTTGTTACATATGTACTTGGAAAATTTAGGTATGTTGCTATCTGCTTGTAAAGATTTGGGAATGTGTGGGGTTGCCCAGATGAGTCCTGAGAAGAAGAGGACAAATGCTTGTAATTGCAAAGTTTGCCATTCCTCCTGCATCTTGCCCCCTTTCTAGGCCCTGATTTATCATGTCCTGTGTAATACTTTGCACAGTGTTCCGTGTTGAAGGATGCTGTTGGTGTTTCTTCTATTAAATGGAAGGCCAGATGCTTCCTGATTAATTTAGGCACCAAAACCTGGGTAATGCAGTGTTTTATTGTGCTAAAAAGGTGTGAGTTTAAAATCATGATAATGTTATCATTTTCAGTTTTAAAATCTGCATGAGGACGTGCTTACTACAGATAACTGGTTATAAACAGCTATATTTGGATGTAGAAAGTGTGAGGAAAAAGCCATATGATTCTGATAATCTGCAGCATGAAAAGCTACTCCTGAAGGTAAATTTTTGTTTGCTATATTTGGAATTGTTTAACACTGGAAAACTTCATCAGGTATGAGCTGAGTACATCTGTGAGCAGATTCTAGAGACTCATTTAGCCATACAGTTTCTCTGCCCCTTGGAAAACTTTACTGTTAGATTTCTTATTATGGAAAGTTTTCAGTCAACAATTTTTATAATTTTTTGATAAGCATCATTAAAAGATTTTCAAATGAATTTTATTCTAAGGCCTTTAATTTCAAAATAAATTACAAATTCATAAATGGAAATCTTTTCAACCAAAAATATAGGTCTACAAGCCTCAGATTTTTCTCTCTACTTTTTATATAATTTATTCATGTAAGGTTAGCATTTTTTTAGCTATTCTGAAATTATGAATATGGATGACTCATTACAGATTATTACGTCAAACCTTTTGGAATTTATGGACTGTTGAATGTTAATTGCCAAATAATGCCACAATAGATTGAAACATTAAGAAAGTAAGAAGAGGGCTGGGTATGTGGCTCAAGCGGTAGCGCGCTCGCCTGGCATGCGTGCGGCCCGGGTTCGATCCTCAGCACCACATATAAACAAAGATGTTGTGTCCGCCGAAAACTAAAAAAATAAATATTAAAAAAAAAAGAAAGTAAGAAGAAAATTATTTAGAGTTTTTCTATTTCTTATTTCTGAATATAAATATATAAGGCCAATGAGGTGCCAAAATTAAAGAATGTCAGATCTAGAGTAAGCTCCACAGATGTCTCCTGTGCCCTGTTGTTGTAGGGATGAGGATTCTAAGGCCCAGAGGAGATGAAGTGATTCCCTGTAGGTACTAGGTGGTCGGGCCTGGAAGAGACCTGAGTCTCCTGCACGTTGTCTGTACCTGTTCTAATTATATTTTAAAATGGTTAAAATGAAAGAAAAGCACAGTGGAAATTTTTATAACTAAAAGTACTGTGGAAATAAACATTGGCAGTATCTAAATAAGAGACTTGAGTTTAAAAACAACAAAATCCTTTTTTCCCCAGGAAAAGTATAAAATATATACTTCATCTAAGTGGGAAAGATAAATAAAACTTGATTTTGTAAAATGAAACTAACAAAGGGCCATTGTATAGATCGAGTTTTTGTATTTGAATTGTTTGAAATAGTTCATAGCATTCACCGAGGATTAGCTGCTTTCTGTCCTTGTCGTCATCATTTTTTCTTTAATTTCAGAGCCTTTCTACATAGTACCTTCCCTTAAGGTTAAGATACAAGTCATAGGATTCTAGTCCAGGGACTTTTTACCTTGGTGATTTCTTAAGAAATTTGGTTCTAGAGGCAGAGAACCAGATGGTGGTGGTGACTTACGATGGCACATATTCAGCTGTCTTACTGGGTATAGAGCTGTGGGATTTGTGTCGCTCTGCCTAGTCCAAGGACCACCTTCATTAGACTTAACAGTATTTAATATTTATCCCTCCCACCTTATGAAATCAGAATCTCCAGGGGTGGAGTCCAGAAATGTGATCTTTATACATATTAAATCTCTGAGTACTAATTAGTGGTTTTACACTGCAGCTCTGACCACAACGTGGCATAATCAAACTCCTTACTAAATTCCTGGGGAATTGCTAATATGAGCAAACAATATGTGTTGGCAATAAAAGTAGGGACAAGATAAAACCCAATCTAATGATTGAATTTAGCTTCGGAGCCAGAATCCTGGCCCTATAGTTTCTAAAGGAATGTCCCAAGTCTTCACATTTTATTTTAGGTAACAAGATACTCCTTTCATTAGGAATCTTTACTCAACAATGCCTGAAGTAGTAATGGAATGGGGAAAAATAAAAAGTTTTCACAAATGTTTTTTATCAACTTCTGTAAGTCTATTTGATGACTTGTGGTATTGATGTTTGAAAATAACTAAATTACATTGCATTGATTAGTTGATTGGTATCTAATATTTGATAGCTGTTTTCAAAATTCTCAGTTTTAATGGTTATATTTACTTTAAATGAAGTCATATTTTTTCCTTTCAAAACTGAAGATATTTATAAGATAATTATCCTAAAGGTTGGAATATTGTCAGAATCATTTCTTCATAATCGCCTCCCTCAAACCTATTTCCTTTTTTTGAATTAAGGATTAATCACCCACTGTTATGATAAAGCCTAGTTAAGTATTTAGGGTCAATGGCCTAATTGTGTGTTCTTAAGCAAGCACTTTACCAATTCTGATATATATGCACTAATTAACAGATAAATGCATCTCATCTTGATGTTTGAGTTTGCTGTGTATTTTTTTTTTTTTTTTTTCTGTGTATTATTTGCTACCTTTTCACAATCCATACCAATCTTTTTTTAACTGGAATAAATTTCTTCTTTTTAAAGATGATTGAAAAGTTTTCTGAATATAGTCTTTGTTGAACTTGTGATTTGTCTGTAAAGATTGTTTAAATGAAAGTATTCAGTGACTAGTTATATAAGGTATGCGAAGGAAAATGTTCTGGTAAATTAAGAACATCACTATTATTTGTAATATGGAAGCATGTTTGTGCAGCTTTGGAATCTTCTAATGCCCACAAAGAAGTTGACAGCCAGAATCTCCAAGCAGTGGGCTGACATTGGTTTCCAGGGTGATGATCCTAAGACAGACTTCAGAGGCATGGGTATACTCGGATTAATCAATCTTGTGTAAGTGAAATTGAACTTTCTTTTTTTCTCTAAATGAAATTACTTATAATCTCCAGTCTAGTTCATTTCTAATAAGAATTGATCTAGGTGTTTCATACTGTCTCTGAATTTTAATATCTGTGGTACTAATGTGCTGGTGTCAGTCTGAAGGCACTGGAAATACACTGTGTGTGTGTGTGTGTGTGAGATTTCTTTACTTACCAGGCTTTCCTCTTTCTGACCACCTTTTCAGTGCCTCTTGGAGGATTAGGTACTTTCTTTTCTCACTGTTTTTATCCTCTTGTCTCTCTGAACTCTGATTCCATTAAGAGAAGTATAACCAGATAAGGAGATAAAGTCTCTTCATGTGTGTTCTTCTCCACCTATGATAGTTTATCCAAATCCCCGACTTTTCAGAGTCTACATGGACTCACTCTTATTTAATACTTATAATTTGGTTCATGTGTGAAATTCCAAAATATGCAACTTAGATCTCAATTGAGAGCCAAAACTATACTAGAAAAATTAGAAGATTAATTTCCTCCTATAAGGATATGCAGATGACTTACCAACTATAAAATGTCTAGAATGGGAAGTTAAACATTAAGGTCTGAATAATTCTTACTGTGAAAAGAATTACTAAACCTGAAATTGAAAAATATATTAGGTTAATATTGAGAAAAACAGTTTAGTCAGTATTGATACTGGGAAATAGCAGACTTAGCTGGGCTCAGTGGCACATGCTTGTAATCCTAACACTCATAAGGCAAAAGTAGGATGATTGCATGTTTGAGGCCAACATTGGCAATTTATACCCTAAGCAACTCAGCCTGTATCAAAATTAAAAATATAAAAGGGCAAGGGATATAACTCGGTAGTAAATTGCCTCTGGATTCAATCCCCAGTATTTAAAAAAAAAAAAAAAAAACTTATGGTAGGATGTCAATTCCTGCAATTTTTTCAATTACCAAAGTACTTAAATTTTTTGTACTCCCTAAATTTTATAAGTATTTAAGTTTTATTGTCTGATTCTTTATACAGAGAAAACAGAATAATCAATTTTTAAAAAAAAATTTAATGTATCTTGACAGGTTAGTGTACTTTCACTAGAATGCCCATGAATTTTTCATGAAGGAATTTATCAGTACAATAAAATGATAATCAAGAACTGTGTAAAACTGTAATAGCCCTTTTCTTAAAAATGGCTATCAAAATAGTCCTTAAAAACAATTACAATAGCCAAGCATGGTGGCTCAAGCCTGTAATCCTAGTGGCTCAGGAGGTTGAGGCAGGAGGATCACAAGTTCAAAGCCAGCCTCAGAAAAATTGAGATGCTAAGTGAGACCCTGTCTCTAAATAAAATACAAAATAGGGTTGGAGATGTGGTTCAGTGGTTGAGTGCCCCTGAGTTCAATTCTCAGTACCAAAAAAAAAGCAAAAAACCAAGTACAACAAAACTGTTTCAAAGTTGAGAAATAATTACATATAATAAAACATGATAATGTAAAAAGAATGGTTAGCATTCATCAGAAAAGATTTTAGTTTAGCTTAAAGTATAAATAATTTAATAGGATTTGCCTCTAGACTGTGGGTAGGGATTCTGTTAAATCTTTAAATGATTCATAATATTTCCACACTATTTAGAACTACTGTCAAATTTTTGAAAAATGACCAGGACTCGCATGTATTTGTAGTTATTTGATTGCCAACAATATACTAGAAATGAGTGAAAATATAAAATCAGCTCTGACTCCTCCATAATTTTGCTGTTTTCCTGCATATGGAGCTATGATATTGCAATATCCAAATATACAGCTAAGGAACAAGCAAGATATTAAAATTTCCTTATGTAATATATTATCTTTTAAATATCTTGGCCTTTGGCATGTGATCTCTTAAAATATTGTTTTGCTGTGAAAGATGGGTAGTGGTTTGATAATAACAAGACTTTAGATCATTGAATGACAAGTCAGCTGTAGAAAAAAGAAAGGAGGCCACACAATGCATTCAAGGGAGACAGAAGAAATCTAAATAAATTAGGAGGTAGAAACAGCAAAGAAGAAGAATCTGCAAGTAAAGGCTAGAAATGTGTGTAGGGAAGAAGGAAAAGGACGTAAGTAGAAAGGGGGAAATGAAGTAAGGAATTCAAAATGCAGATCATTTGTAAATAATAGTTTACCTTATTGTATAGATGCTTATTTTTTACCATTAGATACTTTTTTTTTTTTTTTTTGTACAGCAGATTGGACCCAGGGGTGCTCAACCTCTGAGCCACATCCCCAGCCCTTTTTATTTTTTATTTTGAGTCAGGATCTCACTAAGTTGCTTAGGACCTCAAAAAGTTGCTGAGGCTGGCTTTGAACTTGCAATCCGCCTGCTCAGCCTCCCAAGTCACTGAGATCACAGATAAGGACCATCATTTTGACAGTAACAGTGGCTTCTGGATATATTGAATTTGAATGACAATATACTTCCTTCATTATTTTCCTTATTTTTTTTAGGTATTTCAGTGAAAATTACACCAGTGAAGCTCATCAGATTCTTTCCCGCTCAAATCATCCAAAATTAGGGTAAGCTGGATGACACTGAGAACTAGTCTCTTGCTAAGGTGATTACATGATTAAGTGAATTTGAAGGTATTTCTTAAAATGAGATTATTTTAAGAAGAAAGTTCAGTAGAATAGAAAACAGGAGAGGAAGGCAGGTAGGGAAAGGGGAAGTTCTACAGACTGAATTGGAGCAAAGTATATTTCATGCTTGTATAAACATGTCAAAATGAACCCCAATATTGTGTATAGCTTTAATGAACTAATAAAAAAGCAATTGTTTTATTCAGAACTTTATAAAAGGTGGGCATGGTGATGCACACCTATAATCCCAGCAGCTTAGAAGGCTGAGGCAGAAGAATTGCAAGTTCAAAACCAGCCTCAACAACTTAGTAGGGCTCTAAGCAACTTAGCAAGTCCCTGTTTCAAAATTAAAAAAAAATAAAAATAAAAAAGAGTTTGGGCTATGGCTAAGTGGTTTGAGTGCCCTGAGATCAATCCCTGGAATCAAGAAGAAGAAGAAAAAAAAAACTTTATGAAAGATATTTCATGTTATATTATTTTTAAATAAAAAATATAACCATAAACCAATTTTGTGTATGTTTCAATATATTTTTATCACAAGATATAATTTAATCTATACAATGGAGAATAGGGGTCTTTAGAAAATTTTTTAAAATCCAGGCATGGCGTCACATGTCTGATCCCAGCCACTTGGGAGTCTGAGGAAGGAGGATCTCAATTTCAAGGCTAGTCTGGGCAACTTAGTGAGATCATATCTCAAAATAAAGAGGATATAACTCAGTGGCAGAGTACTTTCCTAGCATGTGTGAAGCCCTGAGATCAATCTCCTGAGATCAAAAAAAAAATTTTTTTTTCTCAAAATGGAGTTGAAAATAGGAATAGCTTCAAAATAGGAAAATGGGAAATAGCTTTGAAAATTATTAAGTGAAATGCAAATTGAGGTCATGTAATTAATTAGTTTTATCTTTTTATATTCTGATGAAATTAATCTTTGGAAAAAATAATGGTAGATCATAAAAATAAGTAAATATTCTTATGATGAAGAAAATATCAAATTATTAAGTGTAGTTTAGAAACCAGTGAGATTTGTTGAATGTAATTCTCTTTGTTTTAGATGTCATGAAACAGAACTTTATTTTATTTCTTATATTATACTCAGAAAATGAATAGACTTTAGAAAAAAATTTTTGGATCCATTCACCTTTATTTTTCTTATTTTATAGAGATTGTTATAAAATCAGTAGTGTATTAGAAATGAAGCAATTTTAATTTTACCGATTGCTTACATAATTTAAAATTTATTTTATGAGCTATTTGGCTAGCTGGTATAACTGGTGATGTTTCTGACATAGGTATTCTTATGCAATAGTTGGAATCAATCTCACAGAGATGGCTTATAGCTTGCTGAAGAATGAAGCTTTGAAGTCTCATCTCTACAACTGTGTTCCTGGTGTACCAACAATGGAACATTTTCACCAGTTTTATTGTGAGTATTAGAATAAGAAAGTTAGCTCTAAGAGAATTTTTAAACCATTAGTGTGTATTTTAATCTGATACCTCTATCAAGTATAAAGTTTATATTATTTTGTTATTTTTGATCTTTGAAGCCAGGAAAGTAATGGGATGGTCCATAAGAGTATTTGGTACTTCGTTTCTATATTTGTTTATTAAAAAAAAAATTGTGACATTTTTCAAGTGTGCAAATTTAGAATTTGTGTAGTTTTTCTGTAGCTTTTCATTTTCCAGTTAACCACAAAATGAATTTTCCCTCTCGAATACTCCCTAAGGACTCAATGATAGATCATTTGCAGATTTTTTTTTTAATACTCTTATAGGAAAATAAATTTAAAGGAACTTTTCACCCCCTTATTTCAAGGTTAGGTTGCCTGGTGTTAATTTGGTGTTAATACTAGAGCAGTTCCTTTATTACAGTAACTTTTACTCTGATAATATTTGAACACTGGTAGTTTAATTGAGCAAATCCCTCTTCTAAATCTACTGCTTAGAAGCAAAGAATTCAGATCTAGCTTAGCTTTGCACTCTACTTTCCTTGGTATTTCTGTGGCTTTGGAATATCATTTGCGTGTTGTGAGGATATGGGAAGCTACTTAAATACTAAGTGGCCCAGTTGGCTTCCTCTGTTCTGTGTGCAAAGTATCATTCATGGCTCCTTCTCGATCTCTCCTGCCTACTTACCTGCTTCAGTTTTGTCTACATACTCAGTTTCTCCTGCATTTGTCTACTCTTCCTATCTCCTTTATAATATATGACATCGTACTTGTATCAGTGGACAGTTTGGGTGTTAATTAAGGCTTTTCTTCCCAGGAGTGACCTATTCTAACTAAAGGAATAGTTTTAAATCTTGTCTTCTGAAGACACATCATTTTGTTATTTGGAAAATGGGCCCAGTTAGCACAAATCAGTTCCAGCATTATGAATCCTTCCCAGAAGAAAAAACTGTAGAAAGATTAACTTTCTTTTTTTTTTCTTTTTTTATTTACATATGACAGCAGAATGCATTACAATTCGTACTACACATATAGAGCACAATTTTTCATATCTCTGGTTGTATACAAAGTATATTCACACCAATTCATGTCTTCATACATGTACTTTGGATAATGATGTCCATCTCATTCCATCATCATTTCTAACCCCATGCCCTCTCCCTTCCCTTCCAACCCCTCTGCCCTATCTAGAGTTCATTTATACTTCCCTTGTTCCCCCTCCCTACCCCATTATGAATCAGCCACTTTATATCAGAGAGAACATTCAGCATTTGGTTTTTTGGGATTGGCTAACTTCACTTAGCATTATCTTCTCCAACTCCATCCATTTTCCTGCAAATGCCTTGATTTTATTCTCTTTTATTGATGAGTAATATTCCATTGTGTATATATGCCACATTTTTTTAATCCATTCATCTCCTGAAGGGCATCTAGGTTGGCTCCACAGTTTAGCTATTGTGAATTGTGCTGCTATGAACATTGATGTGGCTGTGTCCCTATAGTATGCTCTTTTTAAGTCCTTTGGGTATAGACCAAGGAGAGGGATAGCTGGGTCAAATGGTGGTTCCACTCCCAGTTTTCCAAGGAATCTCCATACTGCTTTCCATATTGGCTGCACCAATTTGCAGTCCCACCAGAATGTATGAGTGTATCTTTTTCCCCACATCCTCGCCAAGAGAAATTAATTCTTTCATATATTTTATTTCTTTTCATATATTTTATTTCCCACATTTATCTCTCTCTTTCTCTTTATTCTCTTGGCCATTTTTTGTTTCCTTTTTTATTCTTTGTATGAAAGGCTGGGAATAACAAGTGGTACCTTAGCTTCTTATCTCGATTGTCACCTTCTGACCTGTGAGCAGGTATCCACTGTCACCCTGGCAAGCTGCTGACCACAGGTCTAGCAAAAAGGGCTCAGGCCCTCCATCTTTCAGATGCTGCTGTCCAGTTGTCCCCATTGCAGGATTTGAGTGCCATTGTTTGAGCAGGACTTCTGGATTGGTGGTTCCAAAAAAATGACATATCCATTTTCTATGATTAAAAAGTTATAACTCAGTAACAAGTTTATTGGGGGATAACTTATATAAATAAAGTTCTTCCTTTTTAAGTGTATATTCCAGTGAGTTTTAGTGAGCTTCACAAGTTAGCCAGTCATCATCAGAATGCAGTTTTAGACCATTTTTTGTCACCTTAGTGAGATCCCTCATGTTGTTTTACCATTAATCCCCCTTCTTGTGTTTTCCTTATTTTTCACCCCTAAGTACAACCATGCAGGAATTTTTAGGTTTAGTACTTTCTTATGAGTAACTTCTATTGAGTCCACCCTCTGAGTGTCGAAAGGACAATATATATGCTTCATGAAGATAGTTCTTTTCCATTACTTTCTGTAGGGCTTAAGAGGCTTGACCAAGATGTCTTTCCCACTTCCTGGAATCTTGATATCATTTTGTCCTGTGTTTCCTGATGTTTTCATAAATCAGATTACTATTGCAGTCTCAGTTTTCAGGGCAGGCTTTCTCAGACACTCAGTTACATTATAGACCAGCAACTTCTCTGTAAAGCAAAAATTTCTAGTACTTGACCAGTTTGTTCCAGGCCTGTGTAATCATTTGAATAGATCACATTGCTGACAGTAATGCAAAAGCAACTTACCATAAGGAGGGGGAAATAGCCACAACCTAATAACCAGAAATATTTTTTAAAAAGTATATCATAAGCTTTGATGAATAGCTGATTTTTCCTGCTATCCAGAACTTTATCTCTAGATTTTTATATTGTACTTCTCTACCAATGTATTAGGAGTGGAGATGAGCATAGATTCAATTCATGTATTACAGGTAATTTCTACCCATATACTATTGCTTAATGTATGTACAGAATAAGTTTTGAATGAAATAAAGATAGGAAATAGCATTGAAAAACAATTACAAGTTTACCATTCTCAGTCCCTCTTTTGGTACCCAGAAGCAGAGGATATTTTTCTGGAAGTTTCATTCTTTGATTTTTCTCATATATTCTGGTTGACAAAAATCTGTTTTATCTTACATCAAGAAATTAACCTGAAATCTTTTTATTTTGATGTTTGTTTATTTTTATTTGTGGTATTCCTGGGTATCAAACCCAGTGCCTCAGGCATGCTTAAGTAAGCACTCTACTAAGGAGCCACATCCCCAGCCCCAACCTGAAATCTCTCTTAAGGTAACCTTCTTATGAAGTAAAATGTAATTGAAACATTCTGGCTCCTAATATTAATCTTTGCTTCTCTTTAAAATGGAATTTCTATTTGTTTTCCTCATACTAGGCAATAGTAATAGTCTAGGCACACTTTATATAAAGTCATTGACTTATTTTCCTGACTTAGCTGAAATAAGTCACTTTTATCCCTTCTTGAAAGTCCCTTTGGAAGGCACAGTGAGGCTCTAATGAAAACAGAAATCCAAGACCGCTTACAAACTGTGCATTTGGGGCACATCATTTGGCCTCTGTGCTCCTCTGTTTCCTTTTTGGTAAAATGGAGGAAATAACACTGGGCTTACAGCACAGCGTTGTTAAAAGAGAAAATGAGCATATGGTGAGCACTGTATAAGTAATTTAAAACTATTTAATAAATATATTTGGTTGAATGTAAAATAAGATTTAGGAATGGTTTTAAATTTACATTTAAACTCATATGTTTAGTTTCACAAAATACTTTTTTAACATTTTGAGCTTCATTTGGGTTACTGTAATGAAGGTATTGAAATAACAAAAATATTAAACCTATTTGTACTTCACGTATTCTTTTCAAAAAGAGAAAGTGCTAATAGTTCATAGAAAAAATAACTCTTACATTTAGAAATCAGGTGGGAATAGTTTTTCTTTATCCTAGTCCAACATTTTCTCATTATTCTCATTTTTGTGCTTCAGGTGTCGCTGGGAATATTTTTTTTTCCTTTTTCCAAGGTATCTTTTTAAAGTACTATATCTCTCAAATTTGAGAGATTTTGTAATTTTTTGAGACAAACAGTAAATGTGCACTGAATGTTCTATTGAATTGTTGTATATTTTGAACATAGATACTATTTCTTACAAAGTTTCACAGATTTCTTTTAGTTTTACAGCTATTTTTGATGATTATATCCGACTGTGGAATTTAAGGGTGATTATATGCTTCCTAGAAATAAGACGTTTTTAATGTGGTTTTACTGTTGAGGGCTTTATGTTTTGTTTTTCTTTAACTGCAGGTTATCTTGTCTATGAATTTGACAAATTTTGGTTTCAAGAAGAACCAGAAAGCATTATGTATTTCAACCTGTACAGAGAGAAGTTTCATGAAAAGATTAAAGGACTCTTAATGGATTGCAATGTAGCACTTACTTTAAAAATGTAAATCATCCATAGTATCTTCTATTTCTACCACATTTTGCACACACAACAGAATTTATATGTTGTAATAGAAAGTATCTGATCAATTACACTCTTATATATAATTTCCTACGAAAATACTTCAGAAATTCTATTTAAGAAAGCTAGTGGACAATCAGTGTATGTTTACAATTGTTTATACACTGTTCTCCAAAGGTACCTTATGCTTCCAAAGATCCCCTCTGTAGAGCCATGTCAGCTACAGTTTGGAATTTGGGACTTAGCCCGTTGTGGAAAAGTATAAATCAGGTATTTATATTAAATTGGTTGATTAAAATGTGTACAAGTCAGTTTTCATTCTTACGTGTCATAGCTATCAAATTGGTATCCTTTTCAAAACCCTTAAGTGTTTTGGCCTAGAAGAACTGTTTTTAATTTGTTTTGTCTTCTTTTTATTTCTAGGCTAATTAACAGCAAGAGTATTTCCTTAGGACTTTCTTTGCATCTCAATTACTTGTCCTGATGTCACTGTATTAGTGGTAACAAGAGCAGAGATGTCAGACAGGATCAAGAATCATGACCTCCTTTTTTGTTGTCTTTGGTTACTGAACATAACAGATAATGAGAGAATGATGGTGTGACTAGCTTTGTTGTTTTTAAATAGTGCTTTAAAAAATCACAGTGTTAAGGCTTACTGACATTTTCTCATTTTCAGTATTTGCTTTGCTTTTTATCCATTGTAGAAAAGAACCTTATTTACTTAGTGGTTTGGTGTGAGGGCTTCTACCTGTGTGTGCTTATGAAAAGCAATGCATTTGCTAAAAGTCTTTTTTTCCTTTTTTCATCTCCTTCTTTCCATACTGAGGGTCAAGCCCAGTACCTCACGCATGCTAAACAAGTATTCTACCACTGAGCTACTCCAGCCCAGGAAAATTTTAATTTTATTCAGCAGTTTCTACTAAAATAAAGCAGTCTTGGAAATTTAAGAAGAAAATTTAAAGCTTTTTAATAATCTTTTTAAGTATCATTGGTTTGTTTGACTGAACCATTAACTCTTGCTTCTCTTACTTTGAACTCTTGCTTTGACTCCATGGTATTTCGAGATAGCAAGTATGGACCTTCTGTTAACTGTCTGTGGGACACTAAAATAGCTTGACTGTGCATTTTGTATAGCTTTATTCTCCTAAAAAAATCTCAGGAGGGCAGCAGGTGCTGTCAAGGATTACATGTGATGAGATCCTATTGGAAATTTCTTCTTGATGTGATTTACATGTTTGTACTCAGCAAAACTAAAAGAGTTTAAAGATAGGAAAGTTCATGTGATAACTAAGTCCTCCTTAAACCCTATGGAATTCAACTTGTTAAAGACATAATTTAAAGCATGATGATATTTTGCACATCTTTCATACACACAGACACACATACACACACACATAAATATACTGTGTAAGTACTGACTTGTATGTGATATAGCAAGACTTGGTATTTTTCAACTGTTTGCTCATGTCTGTTGACAGATCTCTCTTCAAACTTGTCAAGAGTGGTAAGAAAGCAACACATGCAGTGTTTTATACCACATACATTCAAGTACATGCATTAAAACGATTTTTAAAATAAAACTTTTTAAAACTTGGTCCATTTTGTCATAATAGTGACAATTTAGCTTTTCAGTATTATAGGAAGTTCATAATTGATTTCTTATAAGAACTTCTCACCCTTTGGGAATATCTTCAGCTGTTTTTCAAGTGTTTTCATGCTCTTTATTTCAGCTGGAGTCTTCTGATGTGTAGTAGAATTCCAAACAAATCAGGTGTTAACCATGAAGTTCATTCTGTTAACGTATTAACTATTCTATGGAAAGCAATTCAGTTAGTCTTTAATTTTTGTGCTGAAAATATTTATGTTTTAATCTTTCAATAACTGAGATCTTGATCTGATTTAACCTTTGTCAGGATGCTTATTAAAAGAATGCTTGAAGTATGGACGGGAATATTGTTAAGTAAGTTTTTCCCCTTTTAGAGAGGGAAAAAAATGAATGGGGTTAAAAAAAAAGTCATTATAAAGTTTTCTCATAACATGTTCTTCAGATTCATCTCTGTACATTACAGGTGTTGTCCTGTTTTTTCTTAAAATAACTATAACTATTTCAGACACGTGTTGTCAGTTGATCTAATGACCACCAGCAGATTCTCAGATTTGATAGTTTGGAAGGCAAGCTCTTCCCAGGTGTAGTGTAGCATGAGCCTTCTGACCTTCGCGTCATAGTGACATAAAGAAAAGGACAATATAATGTTCTTTCCTTCCTCCTTCCCCTTACTTTGAAATGTATGTTAGAATGTTATGTATTGTAAAAATCCATATTTAGAATCTCACCTTTTCTATGATTAGTAAAATGCCAAAGTAGTGATAGGATATTATGGCATTGAAGTAGCAGGAAAATTATGTTAGTTTTAGCATCAAAAAGTAAAATCAACATGGAAACGAATTTTTGTATATGCCAGGTTGAGGAGATTACATCAGTGACAGGAGTAGTGTAAAAAAATACAGTTTAATCATTTGCAGTTTAAATACATTCTGAAAGACAATCTAAAACAGGAGAAATCAGGAGGTTATCAGTGAACCTACACCAACCTCTGGCAATATAGCTAGAGATTAAAATCAGTATCTTAAACTGGCCATTACAGTTAAACCATTTATAGTTTAGGAAACGCTTTTTTTTCTTACAAATGTCTGTTTTGGTTTTTTTCTAAGAACATCTTTAATTTTTTGTATGTGTTTACACTTGTATGTATGTACATTCTTATTATTCTAGCGTTCATACAATTATGCACGCACTGTTTCTCCCCTTTGAGAACATTCAGTTAAATAGAATTTGATCAAAGAGCTGCTCAAAGGATATATAGCATATGAGCATGCAAAGGGATGCTTATTCTGGGATAGAAAAGGTCACGCAGCTTTGTGGCTTGCAGGGCAATAACGTTTATCATCTTCCTTAAAATGGTGACTGGGGACCAGCAGCTGATTTTCTCAGGATGTGTTCACCTGCCTCTCTGAACAAGTCTGGGGAGCCTAAACTTCCACTTTCATACTTAAGAATCTGTTCACACAAGCAATTTGTAGATGAAGATTAATGGAATTGTTAATACTCTGAGAGAAACCATGACTTGAATTTGTGTTTTTTCTGTCTTCACCTTTTGATGAGAAGCATTAAAAGTGTAGTGCAGGTAAGACCCAGCGACTACAGTACTATTAGAGAGCAATTCTGTGTTTTTGTTGAAGTATTTAAAAAAATATTTAAGCAGTAGTGTTCCCTGCAGGAAGAATTGCCAGTTGGCAACTTAAATTAATTTTTTTTCTACTTGGATAAAGCGGTTGATTTCTTAAGCAAAAGCAATAGTGTGAAACGTGATGTCATTTTGTTTGTGATATTAAGTGATCAAATAAAAACCTGTTGAAATTGTTGTAAGCCTTTCCATTGATGCACTTGCTGTCTTCTTGTCCTACCTTTATTTCAGTTATTTATATTCATAAAACAATGTTATCTTGTTTAATCATCTATCATGTTGCCATAGGTGAATTAGAATATACAGAAATTTTTATTTTTGTGACTTTTTAACTCACACACAAATTACTACGTAAGATGTTATTAATTTAATGAGAAAAGGAGATTATGATGCTGTATATTTGCTTCATTCTAAAACACGCCACTACTTCCACCCCACCCTTTACAAAAGGGAGGGACAATTCATACTGTACTGTACTATTTTTTCCTTAACTTTATGCTGTGTATCTTTGAGCTACTTTCATATTAATACATAGCATCCTTATTCTGTTTTTTACAGCTGGGTAGCATTCGTGTGTGTGTGTATGTGTGTGTGTGTAATTTTGAAATAAACAAAAATACTGTATTGAGAACTGGCTGAATAAGGCTGAAGCAGAACTTAATATTACTAATTATAACAAAAAATGCATATGTTAGAAAACAGACTGAAAGCTAAAGACAGCATCTTAAGAAGTTTGGTTGAGAAGAA